GGAACTTTCTAAAGACATCATGGTGCAGTTCAAACAGGTAAAGACAACATTTGTTTAAATCGGCAAGAATATTCATATTACATTTTATAGCTGGTTAATTTGACAGTGAGTTTATGTAAAAGGTTGTGTTAAACCGATAACAGCACAACATGGAAAAAATGCTTCTCTTTCATTAATTCAGAGAAGCTTCAGCAAAAACATGCAGGGTCAGCTTACAGAAAAGCTTGATTCTCAGAATTAAATGTCGACCTACATTGACTGTCCTAGCAGGGGCACCTGTCTTGATGACAGTTGAAACGCACAGACTTAAACATTAGACATGTAAAACATATTATATACATAAAAATTATGATAGAATTATATAACAGCAAATGCTAAAACCAACACAAATGCTCACACACACAAAAATCATGTACTTGAAGTGACAGCAATAACATAAAAGCTACAGTAATCCTCATCCAATCAAATGAACTGCAGTTACCTCTGCCTAACTTTCTAATAACACCGCAGTGAGATGTGATCTGACAACTGGCGGCACTGGCCTGCACATTTTTCATAGATTGTTTTGAAAAAAGAGCAGCTTAAGTGTGAAAAGTTTCTAAAATTGTAAATGCCTATTTATATAAATACAGACCAATTCAATCTTGCTTTTCAAACTCATGCATTTATTATTCAGACTGGGCACCATAATTCACACTTCCCATCTTGTTGCAGTGCTGTTTTCAGCTCCAATACCCACTAACAGATTCACTTTCCTGACAGTAAGAAATTGATAATGTGGTGACAGGTGCAAAAGACTTCTTTCTTTGTATTTCTGTAGTATATGCAGTGCCAAAACATTCCCGGCAACATTGAGCTGACGGTGAACATCCTAACCATGGGCTACTGGCCAACCTATGTCCCGATGGAAGTGCATCTGCCTCCTGAGGTTAGTGCTGAGCAAATATTGGGATTTTTGGAACATGCTGTTTTTTATGACCTGCCATGCTATAAAAATACTGGGAGTTGCTTTGTAACGCTTCTATTATCTTTGACCAGATGGTGCGACTGCAAGAGATCTTCAAGACCTTCTACCTGGGCAAACACAGTGGCAGGAAGCTGCAGTGGCAATCAACACTAGGGCATTGTGTTTTGAAAGCTGAATTCAAAGAGGTTTATAACTCTTTTCTATGAATAATCAGTGTGTTTTGGCCACTCAGTGACTAAAGCCTAATGTTAATTGTTGCCTTTACTTTCCTTGCAAAAGGGTAAGAAGGAGCTACAGGTATCGCTTTTCCAAACACTTGTATTGCTGATGTTCAATGAAGGTGAGGAGTTCACCCTGGAGGAGATCAAACTGGCAACAGGAATAGGTTTGTATTATCACATCAAAGTTTGTTTGGCAGTACATTGATTTTTCATGAAGAAATAGCAACATCTTTATTCAGCACCACTGATTTTAAACCCTTTTTATGTGCCTTGTGGTTTACAGAGGACAGTGAACTGAGGCGGACGCTGCAGTCACTTGCGTGTGGAAAAGCACGTGTCCTCACCAAAACCCCAAAAAGCAAAGATGTGGAGGATGGAGACAAGTTTTCCTGCAATGATGACTTCAAACACAAACTCTTCAGGATCAAAATAAACCAGATCCAGATGAAAGAAACGGTACAACTGTTTCCCTACAGAAGTTTCCCTAATTTAATTACCATTGCTGAATTATTCTAACTTGTGTCTTTTTCACCTCAGGTGGAAGAACAAGCCAGCACCACTGAAAGGGTCTTTCAGGATCGTCAGTACCAGATCGATGCTGCGATTGTGCGGATCATGAAGATGAGGAAGACTCTGAGCCATAATCTCTTGATGTCTGAGGTGTACAACCAGCTCAAGTTCCCTGTCAAGGTGATAAGCATGACTCTGAGCCTTTCTCTGTCCTTTTTATTATACAGCAGCATTAGGGAGGTGACAGGAAATGAAAGGAGAGATGAGGGATGATGAGCAACAAAAGCGCCGACTGGGCTCAAGCCAAAGATGTTGGGTTTTATGGCCTGTGTCATAATCGCCTCGGCCACCAGGATTCTCCACAACTCTCAATCTTTGAGATATATTTATGAGAAATGTAGCATTGATTTGTAGAGAAATTACATGGCTACTGCCATAAATTCCATTTTACCATTTTACTCTCAACATTTTTGTATGTGTTAGGACCTATACATCCTTTTATTCTGTATTTGCTAAATCCTGTGCAGGGATACAGGAGTGGAAACATTAATAGGACTTTTGCAGGGATTATTTTTGTTAAAGCCATTGCATTTGAGAATCAAAATCTGCCAGATACCTGATTTTAGAGACCAATATAGATTTAAGACTTAAAATCCTGTAGTTATTTATGTGGCAGTGCTCAGATATGAATCCCTTAAATCACGTTGATCACAGTAGTGGTCTGTGGCGGATAAACTATGAACTAGAGAGGCTTTCTAAATGTGCATTGACATATCTTTGAAATTTTTGTGCTGTTATTTCTTGTTACTCATCAGCTAATGTATACAGCATTGCCATTGTGCACTAAGCTGGATGATAATCAGCCCACAAGATGAATCAATTTTGCTCTACTGAGAAAATCTTTTCTGATGAAGGAGGCAAGGTTTTGATTTTTTTTTCCTCTGGAGTTTTAGTTTAATTACTAGATGTTTAATCATATACGCCTTTGAGGGATTTGATTTAATCGTGTGCATTTTTGAGCATTTGCTTAAAAAAAAAGCTTTAAAGAAGTGCAGAGTACCAAATGTAACTGAAAGGAAAATCTAGACTAAAATTAATTTACAACAATTGACAGCTACCGGTAGCACTGCGCGTCTTAAGTTTGCACATGGGTACATTCGGTCTGGTTCTGAGTCTTTTTCACAATATAATGGATGCTGTATTTTGTAAAAGGCTTTACTGTTATTTCAATATGTGATTTTATCTTGTGTGGAATTATTAATTCCAGAACATCTACATTCCCACTGGCACACCATCGACTGATTCCCATTTGGTGGCACTCATTCATTGGCAAAAAGTAGCAAGATTTCAAAGCTTAATAGCAGCATGGTGATGAGGTTTAAAATAGGTCAAGCTGATAAAGACTTCAGGATCCAGTGGGTAAATTATCTAAAGAATTTATGATAAAATATGACACATTTTCTGCTGAAATCTATTTTGTGGCAAGACCAGATGGAATGTAAAGATGTGCCTAGATGTAAACCCATCTCTACACCATGAGGGCTTTTAAAGTACAAACAATGGGCTGAAATGTTTTGTAATTGTTATAGTAATACTACTTTTGATCAACAAGTTCAGAGGCTGTTTTATTTTTCAGGATCACCTTTCTCACTACTAGATAAATTAGTGAAATAATTTGTCTGGGAGTACTGTCAGAAAGTTAAGTTTAGAGAGAAAAGTTCAAAATTGGCTTATATAAAAGGGACTTTTATGTAATAAATGGCTCTGGGGAAGCGGAACGATTAACATGAATCAGCTTTTCATGGCTTGTGCTTCGTGTGTTAACTCATGCCTCCTCTCTGCCCTCCTCCCTTTCAGCCTGCTGACTTGAAGAAGAGGATAGAGTCTCTTATTGACAGGGACTATATGGAGCGTGACAAGGAAAACTCCAACCAGTACAACTATGTGGCTTAGAGAACGAAAAAGAGACGCAGATGGTCCCGTTAGGATGAAAGCTGTTCTGAGTGATCGGTCTATAAATCTTTTGCTCCAGTGGATGTTAACCATTATCATCTTCAACCCAGCGACCGACAAGTGAATGGCTACTGCTCCACAGGGTTTTTGTCAGGGGTCTTGTGATCCTGTGGACTGCATGCCCATTGAAAAGAGAATATTGTCCATATTTCTCAGTGCCTCTGAGAGAGCTGGGACAAAGACGACACACAGATAATGTTCAGTTTGCTCTTTTTTTTTTTTTTTTTTTTAATGGAGAGGAAAAATATTTATTTTCAAACTTAGATTCTTCTTTGTCCATAGTTTGAATCAATATGCTCTTTGTTATCAAGTCACTGTTTCTTTTCTTTTTGTTCATTCAGTATCCCAAGCAAATGCTGACACACCTAACAATGCTCTAAATGTACCACATGTTGGACAGAAAAAGGATCAAAAAAAATTAAACTGATGCTTGTTTTCTTTAGTCAGTGTCAAATGTGGGACTGTGGGGATAACATACAAAGTAGGGGGCTGGCGATTTGGGAATATTTGTGTCAAATGTAACCCTTCAGCAAAGTTTTCCAGTTTTGTTTTTTTGAGGCCATGTAGCCACATGATAAAGCTGTGACCATGAACACACAAAATGTTCAAAACAGAGGTTGTGCCAAAAAGAAAAAAAAAAAAGAGCACTTGTTTTGTTACAGGGCATATTCAAGCTGCTAAGACAGTTCAGTTGTACAAGTATATGCATTTAAGTTTTTCCTTTTTTTTTTTTTCTTTGTACGTTTTTGTACATACATCACAAAAGTGACATTTTAAATGATCCCATCTGACAGTAAACTGCTTGTTAGGTTTTTGTTAACCCTTAGAAGGTATGCTAATAAGCACAATGCATTGAAAGTCCATTTCTGGTGTCATTATGCACACATACTTTTTTCTTTCGTTTTGTTTAAGTCTCACTGTGGGGCTTGTAGGCCTTGCTCAAAAGTGGAGGGAATATGCCTCAACACAGGAGGAAACATATGATTGATTAGACATGCCCTTGTTTGTACGAGTCTGTTAGATTTACTGCTTCAGATTAAACCAACTGTTTCAATCGGGTTTTCATTTTTAATCAGTGTTTCAAAAAACAACAACAACAAAAACTGTTTCTTGCATTTGTATGAAGGGACGTCATTAATATGAATTTTTAGCAGAAGTTATGAAACCTACATATTATTATAAGTTTGAAAAATGCACACAACAATTGAGTCAGCGTGAGCTATAAGACCAGGCTGGAGTCCCCACCTCCTCCAGGTTTGACACATGAAACAGTCTCTGTCATAAGACTCCCATTTCCTGGTACAGCCGGCGGAGGCTCGACTTCATCCAAACACCACTGACTGAGCGTCCCTGTCGGCTGTTTTCTTCCTCTCTCCGGTGACTCTAAACGACCAGGCGATGATGTCCCGACATGCTGCATTTGTTTTACTCCTCGCCTTTGGAGCAGGTACGTCGAACCACGTTAATTAATCTACAAATCAGTTTTTTATAAAGTGAAAACAGAAAAAAAAATCGCAGTACGTGTCCGCGAAGTGACGCGGTTAAACTTATGGGGCCTGGTGCTTCTGGACTCCGGCTAAATGCTGCTCAGGAAAACAGAAGACAGGATATTTCTTAGGTGTCAATTGTCTTTAATTGTGTGTCTATAAATGTGCTTGCTAGTGGCGAGTTGGCTGCTCAGGCCTTCAAATGAAACCTCTATCAGCTGCTCATTAAAGGAGCAGCTCAGTCGTGATGTTGTGCTGTGGTAGCGTCGTTGCTAATTGTTACCTACGTCAACATAAAACTGAAACCCAGCCAAACGGTTGCATGTAGCTCATTTTCTCTAAATAGCTCATATTTATGTGTTCATGGTAACGTGCAACAACTGAACTACGCCTTGAAAACAGCTGTCAAGACAAATAGCAGATATAACGTTAATTCCACCGCAGACGTTGGGGTAGTTGGTTAGCTTAGCTGTTAGCTTCCTGGTTGACTACATAGCGTCTGTGGTTGGGTAACACTTGTTTTGGAAGCTGCAGATCGAGTTAAATGATAAAACCTAAGACCGTCTGAGCCGTACCTGGCGCTACATAACATGCGCCAGAAACACACCAAGGTTAGGAGTGTAAAAATAGCACCGACAACCCCGTTTGGCACGACATGAAACGTATTAGCATTGTGTTAAGTGGCGCAAATAGTTAGCATTAGCTTCATTTGCAGTTTACAGTAAGTTAGCACGTGACAGTACAGCTCGAGAGCACTAAGCTACAGTGTTGTAGCAAACCAGCTAACTCACCTGCAGTGATTAGTACTAGCACGATCAGGTTACTGAATGGAAAGTACCCGGGATGGAAAGGCTTTTAACAACATCACTCATCATTTCAAATAAGCGTTTAAATGGAGTATTCAACTGTGAATTCTTAACATATCAACTTTAACAATATATGTAAGATTAAGGTAACACCCTACAAAATTACCACCTAAGTAATTTTACCTGACAAATTAAAAAAAATAAAAATAAACGAGGTTAAGACTTTGAAGTGTTATAAATTCCTAACAAATTATCTGACGAGTTTAAATAATAAACCAACAAATCTTCAGATTACTGATGAGCAGACAATGACTCTTTCAATAAAAAACTAAAAAAAAGGAGCTCCAGGAGAACCAAGCTCAGGGAGGGCGGGCATCTGCCACAACCAGTTGGTGAGGTTAAAGGGTAGGGAGAAAAGGATACCTGAGAAAAAACAGACAACATAAATACTAACTAGACCGACTAGTAGGACCAGTATCTACAGATCAGAGCCATCCAACTCCAGAGCCACAAACACCTGCAGAGATGACGAAGTGCAAACCACAGGAGCAATGAAAAGCTTCATAAGCAGTTAGTAAGACAACGTCGGAGTTGTGTTTAATTAATTGCAGTGCTGTGATTAAGCTACCATTAACTGGTTTTGTCGCCCAGGTTAGGTTTTAGTTTTCTAATAATGCATTTTTTCTTGAAAGTTCATCTCTAGTGCACAAAGATACCAAATTCTGTCGGCTTATCAGGAATTTCAGCTATGTTGCCACTGTGAATGAAAGTCTGGCTTTATCTCCCATGTTTACATTGTGTACTTTTTCAGGTGCTCGTATAATACTTATTTTAGCAACATTTGATGGATGTGCACGAAAATCTGTGTGAGAAAAAGCCTTTGCTTAAGTGTCGACTAAATGGGGTCAGGTGACAATATTCACTGTCTCACTCTGGTCTATCAGTTAAAAAAAAAACTAACAGTTTTTATAGCTGGGTCACAATTATCAGTGTCTGTGTTCAGATGTTCTCTGTTTTGTAGGTTTATGGTTATGTATCCTGATGACAAAGCATACTCTGAAAAACCTATAGGTTATATAGATGCACCTTATCTTCTCTGTTGAACTGTATAGTTTCTCTGAGCCAGTCAAGAGGTCATAGACTTTGTTGCTGATATGACTGAAAATGTTTTTTTGATCATGTGCTCTCATTTTATCTGGTGTTTTCAAGTCAAGCTTAGACACACAGAGTGTACATTTGTAAGAAGTAAACAAGGATGTTTCCGTCCTTGTAGAAGATGTGTGGAATATTGTCATGTATCAGGTAAAACTGACTTTTGTATGTTGAAGTATGCTTCTGATGCAGGGTTTAAGCAGGTCTGTCAATGGTTTTACACATGGTTTTCATGCAGTCCTCACTGTGTGACAGTCATGCTTTTAATTGTATCTCGTGGTAATGCTCCACCACATGTTTTTAATCTGTTACACAGCGAATATTCAACTGAAGCATGACTTTATAAACATCTGTCAGTCTGAAAAATTGAGATTAGGTATTTTAACTCAAATCATTAAGTCCTGCTTTGTGCTTGCAGTGATTAGCACTGCCACCTCGCAGAAAGAGGTGAACCTGCCAGCTGTGGACAGGACTGTGAATGATTGTCTCTCTTTGTGTGTCAGTCCTGTGATTAGCTTTTGACTCAGGCTGCCACTATCGGTTGTTTTTCTGTCAATTATTCTATTGACTATTTTACAGATTATGCGATTAAACGAAACAGGTAATTTTCCTCCACAAAAAGCACAATGGTCATTTCATGCAAGTTCATTTTATTTTGACAAACTGCATGTCATCGATACAATGCAGCACAGAAAGAAATATAAACAACATTTTTAGGTGCAGAACTGTAAGTTTAACTGGAAGCTCCAGCATGATAAAAGTAAATCAAAGGGGGCTTATTTCTTCAGTCAGTAGTGCAGTTCCAAAATAACAGTCCAACTGCTGGCTAGCATGCAGTCCTAATGAGCTGTGTTTCTATTATCTGACAACAGAAACAGAAAAAAAAATGTAAATGGGAACGGCTTCATTGGGAATTCAGCTGTATTAGCACACTGCATATGTGAGCACAGAGAGAAACAAACATTTGTAAAGTGCCTACGTGCTGATTAGCGCCTGTGCGTTACTCATCTGGTGTATGTGCATTGTGCTGTGCTGCTGTGGTCTACCGTCGAAACTCTGCCCCATCGACGAGCCACCTTTTTTTGTTTTTTGATCATTTGAAGTACTCCCATGCTCTCAAATCCTTGGGTCTTTGGAAACATTTACATTTAACCAAGGTGAACTTTGCTGTTGCTGCCATTTCTTAAACTGTAGCACTGAATGAAGCTGACATTGACTGGAGCCAAAGACCTCATGATGCAACAGTTACAGTGATACTGAAGAAAAACGTTGCAGACTATGTCAACTAATCGTGGCAGCCCTACCGTTCACTTATTCGGGGTATATCCCATCTTTCCCCCAGTGTCAGGAAGGATTAGCTGCAGAGCGCTTTGATTTCTCTAATAGATAAACGAGTATAGCTCATCTACTTGTAGCCACTTGTTATGACTTACTTTTACAAATGTTAAATATTGACTGGAGAAATTTCTGTTAATTTGTTAAGTAAATACAATATTTTTTTCCTTTCTCTTTTCAGTTTTCCAGCTGTCTTCTGGCATTGAGGTGAATTTCACAAAGGATGACAAGTTATGCCTCTATGCCAATCTAATGCTCAACTTCTCAGTCTCCTATGAAGTAGCTGGCAATAAGGTGGGTGTCTGGTCTTAGTCACACTAACCACAAGATGTTCTATTCAGACAAACTGTATATTTAGTACATCAGCCTACTGTAGTAGGGTCCTTATGAAATGCTTTAGTAATAAATGGAAGCAGCACTGCTCTTATCAGGCCACTAAACACATGTGTCATCATGGAAAAGGGAAGTGAGGAAGTCACTACAAAGCAAGGAGATTCTTGCTATTCAGCATTTCAGATAGTGTGTTTTCCTGGAGCATATCCTGCAGTTATGTCCTGAGTTTTAACTTGTGAGTTTTTGTGCAACAAAAATGAACTCACAGAGATGTATGTAGTTTAAAGCAATACCACAGCCTGTATTTATAGTTCTTTCTAACTGTAATGCCTTCCAACAGACCCTGGTGTATATATTGTTAATGCTGTGTTTACTGGGGAGGTATTTCAGATGATGCAAAACAGGGATTGATTGTTATGTTTACTCATTTTTAAGAGTTTGACATCGGCTGGAATTTTTTTTAAATGTATATTAAATGAACAATGAACAAAGTACTAAAGTATACTGTCCCTAACTTGCTTGGTGGCACATGTTTTTTTTGCATGATTTTAAGTTATACTCTAAGTGTCATTGTACCTGTCCAAGAGTTAAAAATTCTACTTAGTCCATTTTTTTCCTGCCATTCTTAAACAGTTTAACATCAACCTCATATAACAGCGTTGAATGAGATGACACTCTGCTCTCTTTCAGAGTCAAATGGCTGTGTTTGAACTTCCTGCTAACGCCGCAAGTGATGAAAGTGTATGTGACACCACAAGCTCACTGCTGAAGCTTGACTTTGAAGGCAACTCCTGGAGCGTGAACTTTACCATGAATGAAAAAAGTTACCAGGCATCCCTCATCACCTTTTCTTACAATCTCAGCGACTCAAAGCTTTTCCCTGATTCTGTGTCAAATGGTAACTTCTTCGCCTCACAGTGCAAAAAAATAAAAAGTACAAATCAATGAAAGGCCTTGTTACTGATGCTGATGTATTTTTGGATTTCTTTTAGATACTAAAACTGTGACTGTGAAGCCTCAAATGACAAACATAGACGTGGACACCTGCTACTCCTGCCTCAGTAAAGACATGATCGAAGCTGATCTGGTCAATATGACACTGTGGAACGTGCTCATACAGGCTTTTGTCACTGGTGGCAGCAAGAGCGAGAACTGTAAGTACAGATGCCTTTACACGTCTCCTTCTAGCTGCAATATTTCCATCACATATCTATTGATTTTTTTCTCTCTCTTTCTCCTCACACAGTAACCCATTGTGCAGCTGATATTCCCGCAACTACTGTTGCCCCCACTACACATACAACCTCTACAACTACTGCAGCACCCGTCACAAACACCTCCACTGCCCCACCTCCTACCACCACCACCCCGACACCCACCCTGCCCCCACCCACCACCGGAAAGTACAGCTTCAAGCCTGATGAGAACAGCACAGCCTGCCTGTTGGCCTACTTTGGCCTGCGAATTGGAGTCAAGCAAGGAGACGTACGTTCATAAACACAGACTTATATTGCTTTAGTCCTGTTGTGAAATTTGTTTTACAGATAACATACTGATGATCTTCCACAGCCCTTGTTGACTTTTGCTCACTTCCCTATTTCCTGGCTTAGAAACACGAGGAGATGAACTTTGAGCCCAATGGGACCCATGTCTCTGGATCATGTGGAGTCAACAGCAGTGAGCTTACGTTGGTGTCTAACTCAGTCACCATCGTGTTCACTTTCACCAACGTAAGTCCTTGTGTGTTATGAAATCGTGACGTTTTCTCAGTTTAAAAGTTGTATTAAAAGGCTCTTGTTTGTTCTCTTGCTGAGAGTAAGCTTGATCACCCTCTGTCTGTAAATTTGAAATTATAACCACCAGCTCCTTAGCTTAGCTTCAGATTCACCCCCAAGCAGTAACTCTGTGGAGTCTCAGCTGAGATGGAATTTGCTCCTGACTAGAAACAGTCTGGCACATAACCACCCGTAAAATGGCACTTTTTTACAACAAAAGCAGTATGTTAATTACAGTGGGTTGAACATGCTGACGTGCAGATTTTGTTACCTTTGGACAGAGGCAGACAAGTTGATTCCTTCATGTTTTGCCAGTGTTAATGCTAAGCTAAGTAGTTGTTTGCTTTCATTACATATTTACTTTACAGATTTAACAGAGTGCAACTGATTACCAAATTATTGTTTTGCATCAAACATGACTTTGGTTTGGGGTGTAACATAGGAAACAGAGTCAATCTTTTGTTTTGTTTTTTTAATTTATGGAATTTTAAAAGTGTTCCCAGCCTGATTTTAACCATACAGCCTCATCAGAACAGCTGAAGCACCCCTCCATTGTCCCCATTGGATAGGTTAGATGACTGTGTGGTTTCCACAGAAAAGTAAACAGTAACTGTGATGGATTCATTCCATATGACTTGTGAATTTATAGGAGACGATGATCCTGTAGTAGTTCATGTTTAGGCCTGTTTGTATCATTACTTCCATAGTGTGGAAGTAGCACCAGCCAAGTTCTGATAAAATGTTAAAGTGGATAGGAGATTGCAGACACAAAATAATGATTTTGGTAGATGTCCACATTTTAAAAAGCTAATTTCCTACTCTGACTGCTAGTGCTAAGAGTCTGAAGGGTAGAAACTAAATGTTCAAAACATTTTCTTCTGCTAAATGTGTTTTCATATGTGCTCAATCACAGCGCTTGATGTTAGGATTTACCACTGGTTCAGGTTGATATGAAACAGAGGTGTGTACAGAAGGTTGCTGTTTACTGCCTTGATAAATGTGCAAAGATCAGCTTTTCACCAAATTGTAGTACTATTTATGTGTCCATTTTCCTCCTAAACACAAATATATGGACATATATTTTTATCATTCATCATCATCCGCAGTATGAATACCAACATTATAAAACATCCCAGAATTAGATATGAAGCAAGAAAATGTCAAGTGTACATAGACGGTATCGCTCATCACCTAAAAAAAGAGACGAGAACTGCTCATATCCTGTCAATGTTGAATCTGTCTAAGCTATTGGAAAGTAAAAGAGCTTCTTAGATGGGATTTTGCGAAGTTGAGTTTGAATAAAAATCGCTTCATATTTTCTGTTCCTTTCTTCTTCCTTTCTTTACTTGTTTTTACAGGACACAAAGAAATTCCACCTACACGCTCTGAATGTCACCGGAAAGACGAGCTCTGGTAATTCAAAGAATCCTATCTAGACGTACACAGGCGGCACAACCCTGAAAAGAAAGCTAATGCTGAACTGCTTTTACATCCATTTCTTTCAAGGCTTGCCGTTTTCTGAGGTTAACACCAACATGAGTCAGTGGGAGGCAACACTCGGCAGCTCCTACATGTGCAACAAGGAGCAGAACTTCACCGTCGCCAGCCTGGTCACCTTCTACACCTTCAATGTACAAGTGCAGCCTTTTGGAGTCAAGAAGGGTCTTTTCAGTACAGGTAGGTCATTCCTTTGTGTTTTTTTTTTTTTTTAAATCAGACCTTACAGCTGCTTCGCATCAACAGCGTCTGAGGTGAAAGGCTGTGATGACTGAAGAGGCTGAATTAAGGAAGATTATTTTTTGTTGTTTAAAGCAAGTAGTTTGTACCACAATAAAAAAAAAAACTGAGTGTCATTCCAACATTTTTCCTTACAGTACATCAGTTAAGGGGTTATTTTTATAATGGCTGTAGTCCACTATTTTTGATAATTGTAGCATAAAATGTTTTTAGGCAATGTTTGCGAAGCACCTTTCAACAATAAGGCAATCTAGTGCTTCACATAAGAAGTCAAATGTTTTGGGTATAATTTGAAAAACAGAAACGCCTATAAATTCGAACGAGAAGAGCAAAATTGAAGGAAAAAATAGTGTCAGAGATAACAGCCAGTGATTTCTGATGACCAGAGAGTTAATACAGTGGATTTCCCCCCAAAAGACAACTTTGAAATACTTTCATTTTTCTTCATCATGTAACATTCTAAACAATTTATTTATTGTGTCAAAATTGTAACTTTTGGTTTAATCCAAGGTATCCTGTTACGTACATTTATATTTTAGAGAGCTGAGAATAATAGACAAATAATAAGAATAATTAGAAAACCACATATAAAAATGACACTTGGATTTTGTTTTGCTGCTTTTGGCACATTGGGCAACTAAATCTGCAGTTTTACAGTTCCCAGTAACACCAACAATCAGCCCAGTCTTAATCCTAAGTAGTGTTGTTGTTTTATCTTGTGTCCACCTAAAGAATGAAGCCCTGTAAATTATTTGAAGCATTTTAGAACCCTGAAGAGGGGAACGTATGAAGTAAAAAAGAAAAAAAAATCAGAAATTACAGGAAAATATAGGAAACAATAGACTTAAATTTGGAAAATTAGATCTGGTTCATCCACTTGTTCACTTTATATTAATCCAAGATACAGAATCTCTTTTATTGTGAATAAAGCAACTGTCCTGCCAGAGATGTTCATTAATAGGTGCTCGTGTGACTTTAAAGTAGGGAGAAGTGGATGTTGTATTTTGGCGCAGTAGGACAGCTCAGGTGTTTTCAAGATTGCAAAAAAAATATGTGAACTGCTTTCCTGCTGCTTCACTCTTGTGTCTCAGGATTTGTTACAAATCAGAGAATTGCTGTTCCACCTGTTGACTGACTCTCTTTTTATCTACAGCAAAAGAATGTTCATTGGATGACACCAGCATCTTAATCCCAATCATTGTTGGCGCTGCTCTGGCTGGCTTGATTCTCATTGTAGTGATCGCTTACGTGATTGGTCGAAGAAAGACATATGTCGGATATCAGACCCTTTAAATCCAGTTTGCAGTCGACCCTCAAACATCATGGGGTTCCCGAGCCTGGTCCTTGGGCTTCATGTGCAGATGCTTTATTGGCAAATTGCTAAAGAATCCAAGAGTTAACGTCTAAAATAAAGCCTCTGATGGAAATACATGAGATGTAATTTTATAAAATGACAGCTTTCAGAAAATTAGATTTTACTGTCTTTTGACATTGAAGTTATTGATCATTATGAGACATGAATTGTCTTGGAGGTCTTTAATGATATTTAATAAGAAGAGTAAAATCCTTGTTAAGATGGAGGGTCTGGTGTTTCTTCTCAAGGACCAAACTTGTCTACCCCCTGTGTTTGTGGTTTTTTTGTTTGTTTGTTTTTTGTTGGATGTCCTGTCTTTCCCTTTTTGTGCTTTTTTGTTAATGGGCAAGTGCATGATCCACATCTTTAAAACGTATGTAACTGCAGTCACATGAAAGGTGACGTCATGTACAGCACAACTGAAATCTACAAAAGCCCCTAAACGTAAATTTTTGACACATTTTTTTGCACAATGTGTTAGGATTTCATGTGTTGTTGCTGTGGGATCCTGCACTTGCTCAGCAGACATTCCCTTATTGTTTGCTTTTGTTGTAACTTAATCTTTGAGCACATTTATGGTTTGACTTTAATTCCCCATAATTATTAAGACACATGAATGATCATTTTCACAGCACAAAATCGAAGCAAGATGGTCAAGAAGCTTTCTTTTTTTTTTTGTCCCTAGAAACTCATTGACATGGATGAGTGTCTCCTCCATTTAGAAAAGTGTCAAAAGAAACACTCTTTAGCCCATGTTTGCCCCTGTAGAGCAGGAGAAACATTGGAATTTAGTCCTGGTTCTGTGGCTCCAATCAGATTAAATATGTGAAATCAGATATGTGTTGTTTAACAAACCTCCTTCGATAAAGACTTTCTAACCTGTTGAGCGGTTAACGCCCACATGTAAGAAATGACCCAAACAGTGGCTCATTTACAGTGAACTGACAAATCTGCACAAGATGAAGTCACTGTTGGCGTTGTTAACTACATCTGTGTGTTTCATGCTTTTTCATTTGCACAGTCAGAATAAATCTGAAAAGAACTTTCAGCTGGTTTTTCTCACAGAATACATTTTGGCATTAGGTTTAGAAAAGGGATAGTACTATTGTGTAGATGTTCACATTCAGCACATTCTGAAATGAGGATATTTACATTTAAATGCACTAAGACACTATGTTTTGCTTATGCTTAGACTGTTGTCGCATTAAATTACCTGTGTAAAGGTCTGGGCTTGGCCTGAGCTGCAGCTGGGGGGCTTTAACGTCCCCTGAAAACTTGGTTTTCCTCAGATGTCTAAACAAGAAACTCAAGTTTAGAAGAAAATATCCCAGATAGTTTAAAACCAGAGTAGTTTGACATATTGGGAAAGGTTTTGCTTTTATGAGGAGAGTTGAGGAGAAAATTGTTACGACTGTTTCTGTGGAGTCTTGTAAATGTAAAGCTACAGCCAGGAGCTGGTTAGCTTAGCTCAGCACAAAGACTGAAAAACAAGGGCACACAGCTCGCCTGACTCTTTTCAAAGACAACTACTCAGTCTACCTTTGCCACTAAGCTCACTAATGCCCATGTTAATGTTTAATCCACACATTCAACAAGAAAGTAAAAGTATGTGCGGCTCCCAGTTTGTCAAACTGTTCCTGTAAAATCTCTGCTGAATCCGCCTCTTCAGGACCACGTGATTTAATCAGTTTTCTACAACTGTCAGCAGATTGGGGTTTGCTGATGATTGGCACACTTAAATATGTGAAATTATCTGAAATAAACAAAACTGTTGGCAGACATATTAGTTTTCATGTAGTACCTCCGTAAAAAGAAGCTAAAAGTAAGTTGAGTCAGAGCAGGCTGCAGCGAGGCGGTCAGGGAAGGCAAGCCACAGAACGTGTACTTTTGTAACGATAGAAAGCCAATGTGACATGGCAGTAGCCATGTATTGTTGCTTAATTCCTGCAGAGCACTGTGTACTGTTTGCATCACTCCAGCTCTTTGCAATGTCAAATGTTTGCTTTTTTTAAGTTGCTCGTAAAATTTGGTTCGGCAGGATATTGTACATGTGTATGAATAATTGCTCTTAATCAAATATGAGCTTTGATTTTTTGCTTGTGATTGTGGCTGCCTTGTGTATTTCAGCTTTGTACAAACTCAGTTGCCTTCATTTTGAAGATGGTTTCGCAGCACAAGTGTAGGGAGTTTTATTAGAGATTTTCGCATGGAAAAATATCCCTTGTTCTCAATAAATCATGTAACAGCTTTATCATCATAACAAACTTTCTGTTTTGTACCTGTTAATACCTCTGGTAACTGGGTGTGATTGGGCTCACTTCATATTTTCCCTCCGCTAGTGGAGAGCATTGCACACACGCGTTCAGCAAAGGGAATCTGTGCTGCAAGACCATCTCAGTTAAAGTGTGTTACATGGATACAAATTACTGCTGATTCAGTCTGCATTCTCTCATGCTGTTAGCTGTAATAAGTTGGATTTCAAATTGTGTAAGTGGAGCTTTTTAGTATTGTAAGATCTATGGAAATAAAAAAATGTGTTGCTGTTCTTGACACTTGAGTAAATGTTTATGCCTTTTGAAGAACCGTTCCGTGTTGTTGTTTATGCGTTAAATCCTTTGGAGATTTCCAAAGCAGACTCTTCTTTCTTTCAGCTGTTCTTGCATTAACCATATGTTTGTTTTTTTAAATAACCCCTCTCAAGCCTATAAGACATTCACCTCTCTGCTCTCTTCACTCTAGCTGTGGAATGCCAGTCTGATGCGGAGAGCTTCCTTGTTCCCATAGCTGTCGGAGTTGCCCTGCTTGCTCTCGTTGTTATTGTTCTGGTGGCCTATTTCATCGGGAGAAGGAGAGCCGCGTTATCTGGCTACCAGCAGTTTGACTAACTTTGCCTCATTTCGAGCTTACTTCTCGCTGCCTGTTTACTGTGCTGCTTTTGACTCACTGGGGAAGAAGTACCTGTATGTGTTGTATCTGTGTTTCTGTGTGGTGTTTACTGTAATTGTCAAGGAATAGTAAGACATTTTGGGAAATGTTTGTTTTTTCTTGCTGAGTGTTAGATGAAAGAAATGATACCATTCTCATGTCTGTGTGGTGATTATGAAGCCGAAGCTAGTTAGCTTAGCATATAGACTGGGGAAAAAAATCTGTAACAAAAGTCCAATAAATCTGGACTTGATTCATATTAAACCTGGTGCTGTGACTAAAGCCGACGTCCTGTTGGTAGACTTTAAAGTTCTTTTTGAACTATATCAAAATCAGATCATATTTTTAAAAATTTTTGAGTTTTTTTTTTTATTACTATTTTCAGAAAAGCCTAATGCACCTAAACTATTTGTTTGATCTGAAAAACTTCTTGGTGAACTACAGCAGCACTGTTAGCTTTATTCTGACAGAAGGTAAGCTATCTGTCTTGTATGTTTCCAGTTTTTGGGTGAAGCTGACTGTCCTCTCACTCAGGCATGAGATTAGTATTCATCTTCTAATCTGACTCCTCAAGAAAGCAATTTGTGCTCATTTTCCAGAATTTCTTTGAACATTCTGCATGAAATCAATGTTCGTATATAATAACTCACTTGAGTGTTTTTTCTGACATATTTAACAATCCTTTCCTCTAATCTACACTACATTCACCTTGTTGATTCCAGTTTTTGTGGGTTTCTTCTTGCTGCTCTTGCTGTTTTTAACCCTTTGTTTCTAACCCTACTGCCTCTCTGAGTAGCTGAAGCACTAACAGCCGTCTCTCTCTCTGTGTGTCTCTTTCTGTCAGCTGAGGAATGCTTCCTGGACTCTGATTTGAGCTTTTTGGTGCCCATTGCTGTGGGCGTGGCGCTCAGCTTCCTAATCATCCTTGTGCTTATCTCTTACCTGATTGGTCGGCGGAAGAGTCGCACCGGCTACCAGTCTGTATAATCGAACCCAGCTGCTTCTGCCTCTCGTCCCTTCTCAACCCTCACAGCTCTTTAAAATAAATAAATCCCACCTTCCCTGCCCGTCAGTGCATCAGAAGCTTTCCAGATTTATGCTTTGTTCTGTTTCCCGTGAGGCAGCGTCTCCCTCAAATGAACCCTTAGCTTATTTCTTGTATCCAGTTTCAAATTTATCCCAACAGCCACTCTTCCTATGGTTTGTTTTGCTTTGATGCCAGTGATTGAATCAAGTACCAAAACATTTATGATCGATATTGCATCCTTTGATTATAGATTGCATGTTTTAAAAATTAAATTTCTGGCTGTGAGTGGCCGTCCACCTCCTCCCTCCTGCCCCAGAGAGGCTTTTTTCGCTCTCGGTTTCTGTGCTGTATAATAGTATATGTGTAAATTACTCTCTTGTATAGAATGAATGACATTGATTTTTGATGATGTGAATGTAAGAGCAAGCTAACGGAGCCACTACCATTCATTTCCTCCCCATTAGTCCCTTTTTTTTCATTAATTCTTTAACCTTCATGTAACATAAGTTTAATAATGGCTCAATGAAACTCTGCCTGTTGCACATATAGTCACTTAATTGTAGCTTGATGAAAGGGACAATAACTTATCAAGACACTTTACCAGCATTGGGACCAGATTTAGTTTAGTTTTTTTAATTGTGACTTTAGGTTTTTATGTTTGTATCACTCATAGTAGGAAGATTAGGGACTTTTATTTCCTTGAAATGTACACTACATGTAAGTATTAGGATTAATTCATTGTAATGTTCCCTTGTAATCTTTTGATATTTTTAACGTTCAGCACACTCAGCAGCCTCAGGCCTACACTTGTCACTGGGCTCAAACTTTGTACATTGATCTGCTCTACATAAGAAAATATTACACTACAACAGCCCCCATGTGAGGGCACAGTAACAAGGAGCGCTGCAAGACCATGAGTCATGTTTCTCTAGTCACACAGTTTCGTTCATGTGATACTTGGCGCATCCGATCACTCCCCGACAGTTTCGTGCCTTTCTGTTTTGCACCTCTGAGTTGCTTGCTTTGAAGCTTGTCTCCATCTGATGAAGAATGTGATGTGATGAGCTTGTTTAACACAAGTGGGGAACAAATTAAATAAAGTTTCGTTCTTGTTTTGTATCACTGTCATTCTTCTTACCGTTTTTTTGAAAAAGGTGCAGCAGAAGGCATCATGTGACAAAAGTGTATGTAGAGGTTAATGGCCACAAACTCAACACTGCTCCATTCGACTTTGATCTGCTTTTATAGCCTGTAATTACACAGAAGCAGGTCACTGCAGCTATCACTGGCTTGCAGCAGATAGGCAGGATGGCAATGAGGTCGCAAAAAGCTCAACTGATTACTGAGACTGGAATAAAGATAAACTATGAATGTTAGTGTTTCATCATTAGCTCTACTTCCTCTTAGACCCAGTTCCCAACTGTTGAGTTTGTAAAATACCTATATTTTTTCATTCCAACTGGCTTTCTGAGAACCCCTTCTTGCATTTTTTTTAGCATGCTGGAAGACATATTGTGTAGAAATAGGCAGTCGACACAATGACTCAGTGTTTCCACCTTGAAGCTGCAGTGTACGGATGACTGTATAAAACACAGATTCAGGGTTTTATACGTAACAATCATATGGAAGTTTACAGGGTTGGTCTTTCTGTATCCTAGCTGCTCTTCAGAATCAGTTTCTAGTTCTACAATAGATGGCTGATTTACTTCAATATTACAACTTGCAATTGTGTAGTTTCAGAGTGTTTTAGTGGACTTGTAGGTGAGCTGGTGTGCTCAGCTGCAGTGAATGATGAAGAGAAATCTACACATTCTAGAGAAAGAAACTCACATAGAGTAGGATCTAAACCATTTTACAGCAGGACAGGATTATTTTCATTTAAAAATAAAAAAAAAAAACCTTCTAAACATGACTGATACACAGAGATGAATGTTAAGGGGTTAAATCAACAACCAATGTGTATAGAAATGCAACACGTTGCAACAAACTGCTATTCAAGAAAAACAAAACATAGACACAACCTTAAAGATCTGTTAAGAGATGCTAGCGTGAGTCGGTTGGTCGACTACTTTAATGCAAACCGCATTGACAAAGTAACTACTGGATGGATGGCTGTTCAATTTGGCATAAATGTCAGAAGTTCCCAGAGGATGAATCCTTAAAGTCTCAACAACTATTGAATGGATGAGGATGAATCCATCTTCATGTTCCTCTCAGTATTAACTGTCACAACTTTAGCAGTTTCCCTACTTTACATTTATCTTCATCCACACTTTATGACCAAATATCTCCAAAACTGCTCAGCAAATGCTAATTCTAACAAGCAAACGTAAGAAGTGTTAGCTCTCCACCATGATGCCGAAACGCAGCCTCACACAGCTGCAGAGCTTCGAAGTCAGTGGACCACAGAAAGATATATTCATGTTTTATGAATTATGCGGGATCTCTTTAAATAGACAGAAATCCCGATACACTTATGTGGGGGGGAGAACTGATGCATGGAAACAATCAAAAATGCAGAAGAGATGAAAAATTAATTGTATGACTGTAACACTTCATGCACCTGCGACACCTATGACCCTAATCTATGATGCAATAGGTGAATAAAACGCTGAACTGTGGCTTCGCTGTTTAAATGCATTTACTTTTAAAAATAATGATAATATTTAACAGTAACTGCAGCATCTAGAGCTTTATTGAAATGTTCAAAGTTTCTATGTGTCGAGAGCTTTATGAAAAAAATAAAAATGTCAGAGTTGATGCAGACTGTTAGTCTCATGTGGAAGAAAACTTACAGTACATACCAGAACATTGTATTTATTATAAGTACTATAATAGGAATAAATACAACATTGATACCAAGTTTAGTAGCACAATTCAGGCAGGATTAATGCTATCACAAAATAGTTATATATTTTTTTAAATGGTACAGACCTTTCACAAACTATTTCACAGCACAGTATGTCTCTTTATTGATCAGTCTTGTGTAGTATTTCATTTTCAAAAGCAAATGTTTTTACAAAAGAAGAAGTGGCTTGTGATACTTTTTCATAACTGTATAATACTGCTCTATTCAACAAAAATATAGTAATCATGTATTTGCATTTATTATATCTTTTTTTTTGTTTACCGTGTAAGTACAGTACAAGTCCTGCTTTCAGTATTTGCATGATAGTTCTTTGAATTCTTACAATATACAGGTTTGAAAAATATAATGCAAAACAAATTAGTACACTTTGTCACACAAAATTGTGCGCACAAAACCATAATCTAACCTGACAACATCATATGTCTAATTCCCTATTAATGTTTTAAGTCATAATTGGATTTGCATAGCCAGAAATACTAACTATTGGGCAGAGTGTAATTTAGTTTGATTAATCTTGCTAATCATTACAAAATATCAGGAACTGAACTGTAACTCACTCTATGCACTCGTCCTGTGCTCAGCACTGTTTGTGGTGGGTGCAGGTGCCAGTAGCACACTCAACGTACAAAGACACAACAGAAACACAAGAGTAAATATCTACTTCTTGAGGATTTTGTTTCACAGCAGAAGACATGGATATTTAAGTGAAAGGTGAGGAGAGGGGGAATGAC